ACATTTTGTTCCCTCAAAACAACTGGTTATCCCAGACCCCTGCCTGTAACTTTCTTTCCTTTCCTGCAGTATGCAGGTAGCTCCAGATAGGAGCTTAGAGTCCACTGCAGAGTTCTCTAAAACAGGGCCTCTCTTTCTATTTGTACTGGTCTTCTCTGGGAATGACAGTGGATGAGGACCTGTTAGCCACTAACAAGTGGTCACAGGGGCCCTGGGATGATGCTATAGGTAGGAGGCTGGTTAAATCTTCCTCTTCATTGGCTTATGAGACACACATTCAAGAGTAAAGGTGAAGGGCAGCCAGGTATGTACCAACTGTCGAGGGGTCACTACCAAAGCCCTTCAGGAGTTTGTATATGGGAAGCTCTGCCCTGAAAAAGCATCCTTATGACATCCTCAGAGCATTAAATTATCAAGGTCCAAATGTTGAGAAGGAACAGAGCACAGGGATATTTTAGTGTAGGTATCTTCTGGAGTAGTTATGCCAAATTGCAAAGACCAGTTGGACAGTTGGTTCTTTTCTTTCTTGCGTTTTAGGGTAGGTCAGATACTAACTCGACAGATAATTCTTGAAGCTCACATTAAATTTTAAGGCATGAAGGACGATAAATAACACCCAGTCCAAAATGTGAAATGTTGGGAAACAAAACATGGGAATCTCCAATAGAAATCTCATGAAATAATTCTCAGAATGACGTGATGATAAAAATCACTCCTTAAAATTTAACTTGAGTTTCAGAGGTGGCTGAATCTTCAGCCTGTGTGATGCTGGGATTAAACTGTGTGACACTGCACTTAGGGTGTGTGGTTACAGAATCAGTCCACTGACTGGTTACACATAGTGTGGATAACGGGAAGCCCATCCTGGGTGTGGGTGGCAGCATCTAATAGGTGGGCAGCCAGGAAGGGACAAAAGGGAGAGACTTTTGCCACATTGCTTGCTGCTGCTTATCCTGCTTATTTGCCTTCTGCTTGCCATGAACTATTTCTCCTCTGTGATGCCCTTCTGCCATGCTACCCTGCCTTGGAACCAACCAAGTATGGACTAAAACTTCACCCAACTGTGAGTAAACATGCCTTTCCTCCTTTAACTTTGGGTATCAGGTATTTTGTCTCAGCAATGAGAAAAATTATCTAAGCCATTACTATTTATAGCATTACTAATTCTCTAAGCCATTACTATTTACGTAAGCATTACTATGCTCCAGGTACTGATGGTACAGCAATGCAAATGGTAGGTGTAGTACTGCTCTCATGGAACTTCCATTTGGAAAAATACAGGAGGGCTGGAAAGGTCTGCATTACATTGGCTATCGAAGAAAGCTCTCTTTGAAGAGTTGACATTTGAGCCAAGATCCAAATGACAAGGAACCAGCCAAGTGGAAATTTGGGGGACAAGTACTTCAGGTAGAGAGGCTGGAACAGCAAGTACAAAGGCCCTGAGGCAGGAGTGGGCTTGGTGTTCTAGGTGATGGCACAGCAGCCTGGCTGGAGGCAGTGGGAGGAGGGGTTGGGGAGTGACTTCAGGGAGTGCAGAGGCTGATGGAAAGAACCTGGGGTTTTCCTTCAAGCCCAGCAAGGAGCCCTCAGAGAGTTTCAGTAGCTGAAGGGCATGATTGAATTTATGTCTGAAAGATGGCTTTGCTTGTTTTGCAAAGAGTGGATGGTTGGGAGGGCACAGCAGGGAATCAGGAAGATCAATTCTGTGGTCAGTGCAAGATGGAGAAGGAGAACTGTTTGGGCAAAGCAGCTCAAGGAGAGGTGGAGAGAAAAGGATGAATTATAGGTAAATGGGAAAGGCTGAGTCTCAAATCCGCTAAACAAACAATAATAACCCTTAGCACTTTAGTAACAGTTGTATAAACTGCCTGTTGCTTTTACTTCTGTGCAAATCTGAGAACCAGTTATGGCTGGGCTTCTTAGCCTCCTGGGTAGAGAGAGGAATTGGATGGCCTGGGATTAAAGGCTCATTTCAGTCCTCCTGCCAGGTCCACGGTCAGGCTTCTGGAAGGGCAGGTGAGACAGTGGATGAGGGAAAACCAGCAGAGAGCTTGACACAGAGTAGATGCTGAGAAAATACAGGATGAGTCAATGAATGGGCGAATGGAAGAGGAAGGGAGGGAGGATGGGCGATAATTACTGAGGATGACTGCTGGGCAGAATGCTGGTGCTTCAGGCCAGGTCACAGTGACCGGGGAGAGCACAGCCTCATTCCCTGGTTGGGGAATAAGGGGATGGGGAGACTGAGGCTGAGAGTGGTGGGAGAATCTGTCCAAGGAAACTCAGATGTCACTTCTTCTATATGGTCAGATTCTGAAGCTGGATCTCAATGATGGCTTTACCTCTTTCTGGGGAGGAGGGTAGGAGGGAGAGAGGGAGAAAAGGAGAGGGAGATGGTGATGGGGAGAGAGAGACACAGAGAGAGAGAGAGAGAGAGAGAGAGAGAGAGAGAGAGAGAGAGAGGCAAAGGTGGGGTCATTGAGGACTGGGCTTCTTTGTGGAGGCTCTACCCTTTTTGTGAAGCTGCTGGCTAATTCCCTCCTTACCCCACTCCACTCCAGTCTTTCAGGAAAGGCTGCTGGTGACAGATCGGGTGTCAGTGATTCCTCTGGAAAGGACCACTGACCATTCTGCTTCCATACGTGTCAGCATCAGTCTCATGGCCCTTGCCACTTGGGAAGGAGCCCTTGAAGCTATAAAGCACCTGGCCCACTTTTGTCCACCACTGCTCTGTTCTGTTCATGCACACAGCACCTCTCTCTCAACTGATGAGCGCTTCAGGACAAATCTGTCCCCATGGGAGAGCCAGGGATGGGATGGGGAATGTAACTCTAAGGAAATATTTGCTTCCTGCCAGGCCTACGGCACATGAGGAAGTGTTCGGAAGGCCCCAGCAGTTGGCATGTTTAAAGGGTGTGTGTAGATGGGTTGTATTCAGAAGGATCGCTGATGGCTGGATTATCTCTTGGTGAGCTGGCTCTCTGGCATATGGAGACTGTGTGGCTTAGGGGAAAGGAGATCCTCCTCTGGACAGGGTGGTACTGGGCCTCATCCTCTGAGCCCTGAACAGGAAGGACATTGTCCCTAGAGACAGCTAGGCTTGGCTTCCCACAGTGCCCTGCCAGCCTCAATTTCCTTATCTATAAAGTGAAGATAACCATACACCCCTTTTAAAATTGTTGTGAATTGTAAATAAGGAGATGATATAAAGGTAGAGAGTGGGGCCCAGGTTGTGTACTAAGCAAATGTTAAATGTCCTCCTGTCACCGTGCCGCCCTGCCTTGGAGCCAACTGAGTATGGACTGAAACCTCCAAAAACTGTAAGAAATAAACCTTTCCTTTCCCAACTTTGGTCATCAGGTATTTTGTCTCAGCGACCAGTAAAAGTAACTAAGACACCTCCCCACCCTCCCCACACCCAACTTACCCCTGTACCTCCTCCCAGGGTGTTTAGGGGATAGGCTATGATATGAACTGCTGTGCTGGCTGGGGTGCTTAGTGAGGAGAAGGGTCAAACCCTAGGTCTGTGTGGCTGCGGTAGCGACAAGAGAGCCTGCACTGTGGAAGGAGTCCTTAGGATCCAGATAAAGTTCTGTGCACCTCTGAGGATGGCGACCCTTTTCTAACCAGCGCTGAGACAGGTGGGAAATGAGCTCAGGGCAGGGTGCAGGGCAGATGGTATTAAAGTCGGCCTGGAGGGACTGGGGGAGAGGGGGGGCTTAGATTTGGGGAAGTGGGAGGTGAAGGGAAATTGAGTAGAAATAATATCTGGGGATGTATCTGTTGGTGCCAGAGAGGGAAGACCGTAGTAGTTGTGCAGCCCTGCTTGGTTGAAGGACGTGAGGAGAAAGAAGAAATCTAAGAAAGTGTAAGTGCTGTTGTAACTCCAAAAAGCTTGAATTGCAGGCTGGGAAGTTTGAACTTTATGCAAAGAGACTAGGCGCTACTGAAAATCTATAAGCAAGACCAGAGTTTGCTGTGCCTTAGGCAGGTCAGTCTGGTGCACAGAACAGGGTTGGGTGGCAGGAGGTGATCACTAGAATGGAGGCCAGAGGTCAAGAGGCAGAATTCCCACAGGGCCAACAAGAAAAGATGGGGTGGGAGGAGCATTTGGTTAACTCTTCACAAATTTTTTGGTCTGCTTCCCATTATGAAAAATTTAAACACTTAGGACAGAAGGATTTGAAGGCATCCTAAGGAAAATTTAATGAATCCTTTTGTGTCTCTTTCTTGGCCCGCAGTGATAAATTGGGCCAATTTGGTTTAATCTCTAGTCCATACACGTTTCCCTTCCACAGTATTTTGTGGCAAGTCCAAGACAAAATCATTTCATGGCTTCTGTAGTGCGCAGGAGGGGCAGTGTTTCTGGGGCCACACTGATGGGCTGTGCCACCTCGGTGTGGTTTGCCATGTGCTGGTCACATAACAACAACATCATCACCACTACCACCACCAATGCCTTCAGCATAGGTCTGTTCCAGAGATGGCATAGGACATCCTCATATTAAAGTAAATTACTTGTTGTTTATTTGAAATTCGAATTTAACCAAGGATCCTATGTGTATTTTGTTTTGATTTGGTTACATCTCACCATCCTCCCACCCTAGTCTTCTCATGGAAGCCAGAGGGAGCAAAGCCCTTGTCCCAGGGCAGTGGCTCTCGAGGGTGGCCCTGGGACAGTATCCACAAGGCTGCGTCCAAAAGAGAAAACCCCAGACGCAGCTAGAGTGACACTGCACCCTGGGTTTGACATCTTCTGGGTGATTCTGATGGACGATGTGGTTTGAGGACCACTGACCCAGAGAATGATGTGCTACCTCCCCCCCCCCCATCTGCTCCTCACTCACGCCACGCTCACCAGATACGGAGCAACACCAGGGACCTCACCAAGGGTCTCCTCTGGGCGTCTGCGCTCTCTCCAAGACTGCCCGCTCCGGTCCGTTCCCGACCCGGCGTTAGGCTGTGAACCAGAGAATTAATTCTTCCGGCGGGCTTTTCCAGGAGCGGCGGGGCGGGGCCTGGCGGCAGAACGGCCACGTGCGTCAGGGGGAAGCAGGAAGTGACTGCCGGAGTGGAGCCGTCGGAGCGAGCTGAGGGGGGGCTGATGGAAGTGGAGTGGGGGCTGGAGAGGGTACCCCAGTGAGTCGGCTTTTCTCTCCTTCAGCGCCCGCGGTTGGGCCCGAGGCCCGGGGTCTGGGCCGTCAGGACAGGAGTGTGGGACTTAAGGGCAGAACCTGGAGCTGGGCGAGGGTGGCCCTGGGGAGACGAGGGCAGGGGGCTGGAGGGGAGGCTGGAGGCTTTGGCAGGTGGCAGCGGAGGGGGAAACCCCTTTCTAGCCTCTCCCCTCCAGGGAGACTGCCCGCAATGAGGTGCGGCCTTCTACTGTCCTCAGCCGTGATCCTCCTCATTCATTGCTTCCTGGTGGGTGTGTGGGGATCCCGGATCCCTGAGAGCAGAGGTGGCTACTACAGCTAGCAGCCCAGTGGCTCCTCCTACTGGCTCTGAAATTTGACCGGGAACCTGTTAACCTTCAGCAGGCTTGGGTGAGGCCTGAGACTGTGCTTGTCTAACCTCTGCTGCTTCTCCGACCACACTTGGAGCAGCAGGGTATCAAGAGAACTTTCCCGCCGTCGCAGCCACCCAAATCTGAGTCTTCCTTGGCTTCCTCTGGTGTGAGCGGCAACTGTGCATGCAGGTTCACCAAGGCCTGGGCAGCCCAGGCGTTGTTTCTACTTCTTGCAACTTCGCTGATGTTTGCAGCTGACTCTTAGAAGCACAGCAACAGGTGTGAAAAGGGGAGGAAAATATAGAGAGGAGACTGCAGGAATGCCTCCCAGGCCTCTGTAGCAGACTGTGCCTGCACCTGGGGGTGGTGCTGGCTTCTTTGAAGTTGGTGAGGGCTGAAGGAGCTTCTTGCCTGCTAACTCCTCAGGGCTGATGGTGTGAATATCCAGTTAATGAGGATGTCTGAGCCCCACAGTGTGAATGACTTTGGAGGTAACAGTGCTGGCACACCACACCGGTATGGGGCTACTGTTCTTTACTGGCTGTACAGTCCCCTGCAGGGCAGGATGACTTACTGTCTAGGCTCTTAGTCTTGTAGACATCATTTCAGTTTCAAAAAAGTTGCCTTCCATGCTTTCTTGTGCATTAGAATCCCCCACGGAATAAGATGCAGATGTAGTCTTCAGAGTCAGAGTCTGGCTTGGGACCTGAGATCTGTGTTCCTAGGTGGCCCTCAAAAAGGACCAGGTTTGGCCCCTGCACCACTCTTTGAGGAGTGAGGCTTTCCGACAGCAAATAGGAGACAATTTTCCAAGGGATGCTGGGTTGACAGTGGCCCTGACAAATTCAGGATGGCAGGGATGTGGCCTTATTCCCCTCCTCACTTCTCAGGATGCTCAGGTAACCTGTAAGTGGGGATGGTTTAGAGGAGCATTTTCCTGTTCTCTCCTGTGTGATCACTAGCTCACAAAATCCACTTTGACTTTGGTTAGTTGTCAAACGAGTTGTTTGTTTTGTTCTGTAGCTGTTAAAAGGGGCCAGGGGAACTAAAGATATTTTGTATTGTGATCCGTCTTGAATGATAAATCATAGGAAGATAGCTCTATGTCTTAGTAAATGTTGGAATTTCATCCACAAGCAGCTAGAAATAAACAATTGGGGTATCTTGAACCAGGTATCTTGGTTAAAAAAACACAAACCACTCTTTTAGAGTGTTTTAAAAAGATGACAATTGTAAATAAAACAGCTCCCTAAAAATTATCTTTTTCATTAATTAGTGTAGTCTCTATCCTGAGTTCTGTTGGACTATGGGGACCACGGTCTGAACAAATCATCTTTGTCTCAGAGGTTTCCTAACAGCAGAGCCGTGTCTCACCTGGGTTTATCTTGGTTTGTCTGAGATCATATCCTTTCCTAGGTTGGAAGCTGGCCATGTTGCTGAACCCTTGGGTGTAAGGGCCCCTGTCACCCACTGCCACCGTTTCCAGGATCGACAGGGACAGCACATTGACTCTTGGTCTGTAGTCTCAGGGTAGCTGGCTCCTTAGTACTAAGGCTGGGGAAGACTGAACCCCCTGTGGTTGTGTCCAGCTCTGTGGGTGATAAGCCAGTGGGAGCTGAATGAAGCCTTTGAGGCAAGCCCCTGAGCACTAGGGACCAGAGCACAGAGCTGTTCAAACCGTGAGCTCCTTTGCCCTATAACTTTCCACGGGGAAAGGTCTGGCTCCTTGTCATTTCAGAACGAGAACTTAAGCGCAAGAGGTTTTGGGCCCCATAAGAGGGAAGAGTGCTTACCTTCCTTCTCTTGGTGGGCAGTGGTGTGACTCCAGCTTCAGCAGCAGCTGGGTTACCCTAGGGAAATGCTGCTTCTGCGTCTGTTTCCTTGTCTTTGCCAACTGTCCTGTCCAGGTAAGCTGGCCTTTTCCAATTTAGCAAGTATTTTTCACAAAACCCTATTTCAGAGGGTTGTGCAAAGGTATCACCCTTGTTCTCTAGCACCTGAGGTCGTGAAGACCAAGGAGGCCCCCTCAGAGCCACTGCCCAGTAAGGGGATCAGGAACGACTTTGTCACGAAGTGGGCAGCAAGTGAGCTGCAGGGGATGGTCTGAGCTCTAATGGTGGCTGTGTGGGAGGAAAGTGCTCCAGGAAGGAACCGTGTGAACAGAGGCCTGGAGAAAGGACAGGCTGGAGATTCTTCAAGATGCCATAAAGAATTTGGTTGCGCTGGATGACTGTACATAGTGTAACAGGCATGGGCTTGAAGAGACTATGGGGGAATGGAAGGTCATTGGGTGGAATTTCCCCTGTAACAGTTCAGGGATTGAGAGCTCTGATTAAGAATTAGATGGAGAAGTTTAAAGGGAACCTGAGCTAGTTACTTGTCTCTGGAGAGAGAACAAACCATGGGCAGGGGCAGGTGAAATCTTCAGGATGAGCCTGAGATAAGCCCCTGGATGTGTCAGATCTTGGAACCCTTCCTCCTGGCCACACTATGTGCAGTATTTGTACTTCTTCTCTGGAACTAGCTCTCAATGTTGCAGCATCTTGTGAGGCTCCCTGCATGTCCCATATTGCTTTTTAGAGTTAGATACTTCTCAGTGCTGGGATGGAAAAGCTCAACCTGTGTGCTGGGCTGTTGAGGGCCCTTGGGTTGGTATGGCAGAAGGGTGCATGCCACCACTCCAGATAGAGACAACTTAAACGGGAGTAGGACACAGAAGAACAAGTGTCACCAAAAGGGACCTGTGGTGGCTGACCCTTTGCTCCTCTGCACACAGCTATATCCATCATGCTGCAAGGCCACAGCACTGTGTTCCAGGCCTTGCTGGGGACCTTCTTCACCTGGGGGATGACGGCAGCTGGGGCAGCCCTCGTGTTCGTATTCTCTAGTGGACAGGTGAGTTGCCTTCTTTGGTTCTGCTGGTTAGTAGGCTCTTTTATGACCCTGCCTGCATGTGCAGGAGGTGGGTGGTTAAGTTTCCCTCTGTCTTCTTATTTTGTGCCCAGTTCCCTCCCCAGTGAGGAGAACAGGTACAGACACCATGCATTATCTTCTTTCCTGCCTCTGACAGCCTAGTTTGAAGGGATTGGGGGTGAGGAACCCAACCTGACGTGTAGCTTCCATCTGATTTCTTTTGGGTCTGGAGTAGGGGATACTATGAAGATTGAATTTCAGATACAGCTGTCCTCCCCTGTGGCCTTGGCTTAGCTGGGATGATTAAAGAGACCTTGGGGGAAGCAAAGGATCTGCTGCCTTTCTCTTTTATCCCAGTCCTAGGACTTTGTATTCTTTCCCTCGGATAATAGGCCACCTGCCCATGTCTCTGCAGAACCCACATTTCTCAATGCCATGCCCATGTATCTTCACCTTTGGGATGAATATAGGTGGCTGCCTTCCCATGCTCCTCCAGACGCAACACCTCCCACCCCATGCCCCTACGTCCTCCATGTATCCTATAGGCTCAGACCCTTTCTGTATCCTTGCTCACTCTTAGGCCCCTACAGACTAGCCCCAAACCCTTTATACACCCCTCAGCTCTCTCTTCTCCATGCCCCAGACCCCTGAGTCCGTATGCCTCCTCTATATACCCAACCCAGCCTCCCTGCACAGTATACACCTGCACAGCCCACACCCATGTCCCTTGCCTAAAGACTTTCCTCAAGCCTGGACTCCCCCAACCCCAGACTCAGAGCCTCCCATGGTGTCTTGACAGAATGCACATGAGGTATCTTAAGATCTATTTAAATTTACTGTGAGACTGATCTAGAAACAGAGGCACATTAGGAAGTTGGCAGGTCAGGCCCTCTTGTGTTAGGGACCAGTCCAGCCGGTATTGATTTCAGCAATAAGATCTTGCTTCCTACACTGTCTCCCAGCCTCCTGGGGGAGGCTTGGAGCCAAGCCATCAGAGACGTGGAACACAAATCGCACAAGCTGGAATCACTGGGTCCAAGACACTTACAGATGGCAATTTCATAGAAAGAGAAAGTGGAGTGGTAGGTGACAGGGCTTGGTGGGGAGGAATGATGCAGAGTTCTTGATAGAAAAGAACTGTGAACATAGATGGTGTATTTCTCTTAGTGTAATGCCCTCAAGGCTCAGCCATGGTGTCCCACGTGCCAGTTTCTTTCTTTCTTTTTTTTTTTTTTCTGGTACTAGGGATCAAACTCACAACCTCATGCTTGCCAGGCAGATGCTTCTGCCGCTGAGCTAAATCCCCAGCCCCTCTTTTTTTTTTTTTTAAAGGCTGAGGAATATTCCATTGTACGTGCATACCATGTTTTGTGTATCCACTCATCTATGGATGGACACAAACCTCTTGTTACTAGGATAGAAGACTTGTATAGAAAAGTGCACATTTTATAAGCGCACAGCTGATCACTTTTCATAAATAACATGAAACTGTGCCCAGATCAAGTACCAGCCTCTTACAGCCCCTTCATGTCTCCTTCCAGACTGCCCCCTCTCCCCACCACCTCCACTCACAGCATGCATGGTTTTTCCTAGTTTGGTGTTTTATTTAAATGGACTAATCTTTATACAGTAGGCACCGGTCCATGTGTGCGTGAGTTCATTCTATTTGTTTCCCAGTTTGCTTTATGTCCTGGCCTGTTTTATATATATAGTTATAAGTGCACACAGTGTATGTAAACGTTTTCTCATTGTCCTGTGATCCTCTGCTGTATGAATGTATCCTAACTTCTGGATCTGTTCTTCATCTGGGGAATTTGACAGTTTTTGGTTTTGGTGTCTCACATGCCGTGCTGCTGTGAACATTTTTGCAAATGTGTGGTGAGTGTGAGTGTGCGTTTTGTTAGTTATTACTCAGGAGTAGCAGGAGGTGCAGTCACTTGTCTCTGGTGCCATCTAAAAGTTTTCTAGCATCGTCATGCTGGTTTGTACCCTGATCTATGAGAGGGCTTGTTGTTTGCCTTTATCTCCCTGACCTTTGGTAATTTCCATTTCTTAGAGCAGCTACTTACTAAAGTTCCTGGTGGTGATTTGCAGGGGGAGCTGAGTAAGAAACCTCCTGTGGGCCTTTGCACCCCTGCCGCTACAGGATGGGATACTTCTGACCAGTTCTGGCAGGGATGGGACATTTTAAAATTTCTTTTCCCTTGGTTCATGGCCTGTTTTGTAAACTCAGGAGGTCCCAGCTAAGGAGTGGACTTGTGGCTCTCTTGGGACTCAGTGGACCAGTTGCTGTCTTGGCCTGGGGCACATTGTGCTGCTGTCCCCCAAAAACTAAAGCACCTTCTTTTCGTTTTCAGAGGCGGATCTTGGATGGAAGCCTTGGTTTTGCCCCAGGGGTAAGTTGCATTTAGAAGTGTCAGTGGAGATACATTTATTTTGAAGTGTAATCTAGATACAACTCTGGATTCTCCAAGTGCTTGTGGTTTCCCATATTCACTTCCCAGCTTATCGAATGCCCTGCTTCTCCTTAGATGGTGAAAGAGGAAGCTTGTGGGTAGCTGCCTCAGGACCTAGCAAGGGCCTGGGGGATACACAGCATGAATTAAATATTACTCCCTCCCCTCTTGTTTCTTTCCTTCTTTCTTTCTTTCTTTTTTTTTTTTTTTTGGTTCCAGGGATTGAACTCAGGACTGCGCTCTTGCAAGGGCGTTTATGCCGCTGAGCTAAATCCCTGGCCTTCCTCTTGTTTCTTACAAAAGGACTCTTTATTATAAACATTTTCAAACATGTAAAAAAACTGGAAACCCATATACATCTCAGGTACCCACCCCCCAGCTTAAATCAGGATTCACATTTTGCTAATCTCATTTCATTTGTCTTATTCCAGGCTTCTGGGAAATTGGAGTATTTTGTACCATTGAATTCAATATGTAATTTTGCCTGTAACCTCAGTGTACATCTTTAACTGAATGACTTAAAAGAAATGAGAATCATCAATACTGTTACTACATTTACTAAAATTAACAGTAATTTCTTACTAAAAACCAATACTTAGTCTATGTTCAAATTTCCTTTTTTTTCCCAAAAGTGTCTTTTAAGATTGTTTTGGTAGAATTGGGATCCAAACAAAATTTTCATGCTGAATTTGTTGCCTTTTAAGTCTTTTATTCTTCAGTGGTCCCATTTTTTTCAAGATAGTAATTTGTTGGTAAAACTGGGTTGGTCATTTGTTTCCAGGATGTTTGGAGTTTGGCCTACTGCTTGCTTGTGTCATATAACTTTATCCTGAGTCCCCTCTGTCTCCTGTAAACTTGGAGTCAGACCTGGGCTTGATTAATTCAGATGTCATTATAAATCTGTCACAGTGATGCTGTGTATTCCTGTCATTTTGGTGATATTGAAAGGCACATAATACATGGTTTTCTCTTTTAGTTGATAGAAGTTCGGTTCCTTTGTGCTGTCTTATAGGCCTATGACTGGAAAATCTTTTTGAAGGGGGGACCTCGCTGAGGTCATCCACATGGGCAGCTATCAGACGAGGGCCTATCTTGGAGAACATGGAGGCTTTGCAGCCTGGCCCATCTGTGCTGATGGCTAGAGTTAATCAGTGTCTAGGTCCTAGTTCCTGGGTTGTTTTACTTTCTCACAGCTGGAATGCAGTATCTGACACCAACTGAAAAGAAGAGAAGTTTATTTCGGCTTGCGTTTTGGAAGTTTCAGGCTTTGCATGGGTGGCAGCGTGGTGGAAGGGCCTGGGTGGAGGAAGGCTTCTCTCCTCAAGTCCAGCAGGAAGCAGCGCATCAAGGGAGGAATTAGCAAGGGTGAAGTACCCTTCTGGACTGCATCTGCAGTGACCTGAGACTTCCAGCCAGGCCTTACCTCCTACCAGCAAGTCAGCTACTATGGCCTTTCAGACACTGAGACACCTTCCAGACACTTGAGGTTTTAGATCGAAGCCATCACACCTGTGTTTTCTTCCTAGTGCAGCTGTATCTAAGGATTCCCCAGAAGTAGTCCTCTTTTCCTCCCTTTCCTTGGACAGATTCCTTCTCTCCCAAAAGAGACAGGCTATCTCTTATTACCTTGTCTCTAGCTAGCAGCACCTCCAAGCTTGAATGGAGGGCTCGTTGGTACTTTGGTGTTGGTGTGGGGAAATAAGGGGAAGAACCCTAATTACTAAGCACTGGATGTAGATCTTTTAGCAATGTAGCTACTATCCTGATTTTTAAAGATGACTCTAATCAGATTGTCAGTGGTGAGATCCTTAAAGTAATTTTCCATGAGTGACTACTTTGGGATCTGGAGCTGGTAACTTAATAAAAGTTGAAAGGACAGAATGACAATATTAGAACACTTCATTTTCCTCTTTCTCCCACCTTTCATTTTCACAAACATATTTTGTTTTCTTATGTTTATAAAGAGAAAAATAGTTAACCTGACTTATTCTAATAATGTCTATTTAATAATTATTAACAAGTGTGTGAAAGAATTAAAAAGTAAGAAAGGCCCACCCATTAACATAAGCGTTTCTAAGACTATTTAACTTTTTACTCTGTTTTTTCTTTTGGTACTGGGGATGAAACTTACGACCTCATGCTTGCCACGCAGGCATTTATGCCACTGAGCTAAATCTCCAGCCGAGTATTTAACTTTTTAATGTTTAATAATTATATGAAGTATTATTAGTGGTTGCTATGTCTTCTGTATTAGTTATAATTGTAATAATAAGGCATTCCAGGAAATCATTTTTTAAGCATAGAGCCTTATACTACAGGAAACTTTAAAAAATTAAATTGCAGTATGTGTAGATATTCATATGGCAAAGAAATACGATGATGCAATAAATTATACATTTTACAGTATAAAATATAAATTTCTTTAGGCTAGGATTCTGAAATTAAAATACAAGTCAAGAACAAAACAAGAATGAAATAAATTACTGGCTTCAATGAAAAATTTGCTTCTGATGGATCTTTTTGTGTGTGTATTTAGGTGGAATATAACATGGACATGAGCCTACATAAGACAAAGACACACTGCATAGTTTATATACCGTATTTTTAACTGGATAATTATGGGAATAAAATGTATATGATACTTAGATCCTGTATTTAAAGGCTGCTAAAATAGTTTGTTTCTTTTTTTTGGTTGTTTTTGCAGTCCTGGGGATCAAACTCAGGGCCCTGTATATGCTAAGCAAGTACTCTATCCCTGAAGTTATACCAGGGCCCTGCTGAAACAGTTTTATTTAAACAAATTAGTATCTGTGCACTGTAAGATAGAAACATTTTTAATGTAAGATAGAAACATAAATGATTGGTGAAGTATCTTGTTTTTCAGCATTCCTGCAAGAGGTACATAGATGTGAAGATCAAAGAACCCTATTCTTTGGTGTCTTTCTGCTTCTGGCCAGACATGTGGGTTTCTTGTTCAGAGTTTGTTTTTATCAGTCAATACTATTTCAGGATTCAGATACAAATGATAAAAAAAAGCAAACCAGTGAAAAGAGATAAAGCGTAAGTCGTTAGGACCTATAAGAACGAATTCTGAAGCATCAAAGCATGAACATGTAAGATGCACTTTCTTTAAAACCTCATGACACCGTAGATTAGCATGTTTACCTAACTATGGGGATCTGAAATAGTTTTACATAGTTGGTAGGTAAAAAGGATTCTAGAAGTTATGGGTGTATATTTATCAGAAAATAAGTCTCATGGGAAGCAGTTTTTCCCCCAGGGCACAGTTGTGATTTTTGATTGTCTCAGCTGTGTCTAGTGGGTAGAGGCCTGTGATGCACAGGACAGGATGCTTCAGAAGCAAAGAATGCACAAGGTGTCAGAAGTGTTGAGACCCAGAAGTCTTGGCCTAATTGCAGTTTGGTGTCATCACCTATAGCTACCATGTGAGGTTTTAAATTTTCAGATATAATGTTGAAGAAACACAAAGTTTCCTTTCCTATCCTCTCTTGGCTTCCCAGAGATCACTGCTATGTCCCCCAAGCATGTGTCTTTGAAGAATGTTGTTTCTTTATACACATACGAAGTATAAGAACAGGCAAGATGTGATGGTGCCAGGTCTCCTAAAGACATTGCTTCCTGTTAGTCAGCTTTCTGTTACTGTGACAAAATACCTGAGATAAACAGTTTAATGGAGGAGGGGTTCTTTTTGGCTTGGTGTTTCAGAGATTTCTGACCATGGCTGGCTCCACTGATTTTGAGAACAATGATGGCAGAGGAAAGCTGCATGCCTCATGGCTGTCAGAAAGCATAGTGAGAAAGCCAGAGGAGAAAGTCAGGGGTCAGGTGGATTCCCTAAGGTCAGTTCCCATCATCCACATCTCTTTAAGTAGGCCCCACCTCTATCTCCTTCACCTTCCAGTAATGCCATCAGCTTACAGTCTCAACAGTGGATTGCTCCACTTGATGAAGTCACTTCTTCAAAAGCCCATCTGCCAGCAGTGTTAAACTTTAGAGGACATTTCAAATCCAAATCATAACACTTCTGTAATCCAGCACTGAATGTTGTGAGTGAATATCTGGAAGAAGAAAACTGGCTCTGAATTGATTGACCAGGTCTCTGGTGCTCCTAACCTGTTTTTCCAGTCTTCTGTGCTGACATTTGTGTGTGTGTATTGTATGTGCACTGCAATATATAATGCTACAGTGACGGGCTTACACAAGATGTAATTGTTTCTCAAAGTGAGTGTTCCAGTAAGAGTGATTCCTGGGATACAGGACATGTATATTTTAAATATATTAAGGAATATATTCACAGGTTATTATTTTCTCATTAGCGGGGTCTTGAAAGTATGAATCAGTTCCCCTTAAATGATTCCAATTGGAATCTCTTTATTTTTCTCCACATTCTTTAAGTCACTCCCCAAGTCGGTAATTGTCTTTCTTGCTCTGGTTCTGATGTTGATTTATATCTAAATCAGGAGTAAAACTACTACGGAGAACTGCTACCATTAAGAAGAAAAAAAAAGATAGCCATTATTGCTTGTTAGATTCCTAGAATAATATACAGAATAGAATAATTATTCCTAGAATAATTAAATCTGGAAAAGACTTGAGGTGGTTATAATGTCTAGTACTTATTAAGCCCTTATTATGTTCAAGGTGCTTACCAAGCGACCATCTAGTTTAATTTTCACGACATTTCTATGAAGGTTACACTAGGCATGTATATGATTCTCTCCCACTTTGCATGCACAGTGAAAGTAAGTGAACTATTCAGTATCATTCTGAACATTGGTACCAGTATCACAGACGATCTCCTATCCTTAAACCACAATGACTCAGTGACACGTTTACACAACATGATATCTGGTCCAACTGCCTCTCTTTACAGCCAAGAAGCAAGTGGGCATGTAAATGACTTATACAGAATTGAAAAT